TCTCCTTTATAGATGGAAATTTTTGATCTTATTAGTTTTTCCCCATTTTATTTAATTTCCTTCCATTATGGTCCGTCACTCGAATTAAGTTAGAATACTCTCAAGTTTAATACCAAGTGAAAATTTATATTAAGTGTTATAAATAGAGTTTTATTTATGGTGAATATCTATATTTAGAGAGATTCTAGGGTTTATTACTTGGTGGCTAAGTCACCATCTCCCTATTCCATTGTAATTTATCCCAAAAATCAATAAGAATTCTCTCCCTCTACTTTTCTCTGCAATACTCTTCTTCTTCTTTTATTATTTCATAACACGTTATCAGCACGAGACTCTAACCAATTGAGTAGAAGCCTTGGGATTGAGCATAATGATTGTCAATTGTTCCATGGACTTCCTTCATGATTAAATTCTGAATTTAAGGCATGTATTTTACCGTATTTTTCTCTTTTATTCTATAATTTAATTTTAAATACAAGCAAAGACAATAAATTTTGATTATAACTCTAATGGAGTTAACAAGAAATTATAACCACTCGAAGTGGTAAAATTTCTATGCCTCGCCATGATCAAATTCATGAATGATTGTGGGTAAAGAATTAAAAATCTGTCCCATTGAATTTGCTCCATTCTCATTCCCTTAAGAGAATGTGATATCAATATGTGATAAGTCTGAAAGAAGACAAAATTATTGCCGTGAAGGTATCAATGGATGTGGACTTGGCAATAGACGAAATTATAATTGTCATCATTGTGATAATGAGAATAATAAGGATTCTCAAAATAATCCTTCACTCTGTGAAAGTAATATTTGTCATCGATTTGACATGAGATTTTATAAAGCACATACAGATGACTATGGTCAATTCATGATGTGAATGTGACAACATCTGATTTATGAATACATACTCATTCTTGGAAGAATATGAACGTGTTAGTGGTAGTGAATATACCACGCTCACTTCTAAAAGGAGGTTTGAGATGATATCAATGTCATTATTATGGCATGAATGGTCATTGGTCACATACCTATTGTACGCCAAAATATTTTGGCAATGTGATTATTAAAACACAACGGTAATGCAAGAAACAGATCTTGCATATAATTTTGACCATAACCATAATGGTATAACTTTCTCTTTAAAAGAGATATTCACCATATGGATGTTGATGAATATGTCATAGTACAAAATTAATTGAGAACTCTGCAAGAGCCAATTATACTATTTTGGCGAAATACAATTAATTACTAATAAGGTATTGTGTTGTAGTAAGTCTCAAAGAAGCTTATTCAGTTTCCAAAGTATACGCGAAAGCGGTTGGTTATATTAAGACTATAAATAAAGAAAAGATTTAATATCTTCTATTTCTACAACTAGTAGCGGGGTAATATGTATGTGAGAAGCTACCCGCTTTATTCTCCAATTTGTACTACACAAACAAAAGAATGCCACAATAAAGAGAAGTTTATTGATATAAAAACCCATATCATAATAAACTTGGAGTTTATTGACAATTGCACATGTCATGATCAATATTGATAATTTATCTAGTTGGCATAATAGATTTAGCTATATCAATTTAAGTATGATGTGCAAAAATAAAGAGAATTCACATGGGTAAATATTAAAGAACTAGAAAGTTCTTTACGAATTCTCTTATGTTGCATGTTCTCATTAATTATTATACCAACTAAAATTGGGATTGAATCCCATGAATGCTGGAAACATCAAAGGTGAATATGAGCCCATTCACCTGCCATGTATACCACATAAGATCCATCTATGAGTTGGTTACATGTGCGATTATTATTAACCCGCAACATGGTGTTTGCGAGGTAACTTGCTCAATAATTTGATTTAGAGCATAATTTCCAGATTTTCTATTCAAGAAGTTCATCTTGATAAGTTGGTTTACATCACAGTTGGTTTAGCAAAATAATTTATTAAGTGCCTCTACTTAATAGCTAAATTGTTGCTGATGAGAACAAAGTTATCTATATCAATTTGATATACGTTATATAACAAAGTATATTATTTTCTCCCCTCACAAGTGGTTCAGGGTCAGGAGCCAAATAATTTCATCTTATTATTATTGATGTGCGGTGTATATTTTGATTAACACCATAACGCACAAAGGTGGATTCTCAAAGTTGAGGTAACAAGTTAGTTTTTCTAACATGAGGGGGAGACATGATAAACAGTTGAGAAAAAGTTACGTGGAATGAATTATCATTTGTACATCTAGATCCTCGAATAAGATAATATGAACTTGAAGTTCATAAAAGGATAATTCATTTGCAATATATTGCAAAGCATGCCAGACGCATTTGCTGACCCAAAGAAAGTAACTATATTCTCATTGCAAATGCTCCTATTAAGTCCTAGAAGGACAAAGTCTATGGTACGGTTAAAGCGTATATACAAATCGGTTTCAAATAAACTTCTTGATAAAGAAGATGAGAAAATGATCATAATAAAGGAGACAAGTGATCCAGAAGATCACATGACATAACACTTCATAAAATCTCATGAGAGATTCAGGTACCTGAATATATGAATGAAGAGATCTCTATGTTATGTCTTTATGAAAAATAAGGAGGTTGGAACCGATATAAAATGTTTGTCGACGACATCTATAATAGCGCTAAATATATATGAGGATCTTAAGTCCGGAGAAACAATTCAAGTAGAATTTAGTTTCATATGAAAGACATGTAGTTTTGGACCTGCAGTTCAAACACTTGAAAGTATAAAGTCAATGATATGTGCAATCAGTTTTCGATATCTTATATGTCTAGCATGACATGAAAACTTGATATGCTTCTAAAGTCTATTATATGGCTTATATGACTTAACAATCCCCGAAGGATTTAAATTGCTAAAAGCATATAGAATTCATGGTCATGAAGTACTACATCTTTAGTGCAATTTGTGCATACATGTACCTTGCTATAACTATATGCATGATAATATGATAGCAAGAGTTTTCATCTCTATGTGAAGATATTGAACTGACGATTCCAACAAGATCATATGAAGACAATCCATCTCTATCAAGAATGATGATTTCAAGGTGCAATATATTCATTCAAGTTAATATGCCTAATTTGTTCATCAAATCTCTACCAAAGATCTTTTGAAGATGGTGCACAAGATTGGAACGCAAATGCTTAAGGATGTGAATTGATGCTCTCATCAGGGGGAGTTAATACGCGTTGTACTCTTTTTTCCTTACAAGATTTTGTCCCACTGGGTTTTGCAAGGTTTTTAATGAGGCAACCAAAAGGCGTATTATTAGATATGTGTACTCTTTTTCCTTTTCTAGAATTTTTTTTCCCATTGGGTTTTCTTTTAGTTAAGGTTTTAACGAGGCACATTATCTGTTGAATAGACATTCAAGGGGGAGTGTTATAAATGGAGTTCTATTTATGGTGAATGTCTATATTTAGAGAGATTCTAGGGTTTATCACTTGGTGGCTAAGTCACCATCTCCCTATAAATAGAGGGTTCTATTTCATTGTAATTTATCCCAAAAATCAATAAGAATTCTCTCCCTCTACTTTTCTCTGCAATACTCTTCTTCTTTTACTATTTCATAACATTAAGTAATTTGTATAAATGCTGGATAGCAGTGCATTGGAATGTAATACAAGCAACTTGTTTATGGTTAATGAAATTTGACAACAATTAAATAAATTTAAATCAACAACAACAACAAAAAATGCCAGTGTAACCTCACAAGTAGGGCCTGAGACTTGGGAAGGTAGATACACTATTTCCGATAGACCATTGGCTCAAGAAAAGATGATAAAAGAAGCATTAATTGGTGGAAGAAAAGGTGGAGGGAGTGGTAAAATGGGGTTGGGTGGTGAGGTGGCATGCCATGTGGCGTTCACCTCAGCATAATGTCAGGCCACATAGGCTGATATTAGCCATGGTGGAAGGCCCTAACAGAGGACGGTATTTTTACACCACTTTTATAACGTTAGGGATAATAGTGAACCGAAAGTATAACGGAGGCCATAAGTGATCCTTTTCACATAGTAGAGGGATAATTTTGACCATTTTCCCTAATTGTATTTTACTGGAAGAGAGAAAAAGATCAAGAGATGAAAAAAAAAGGAAAAGTAATATAACAATAAGTTGAAAAGAAAATCAAAATCTTTTTCATGGGTTTAATACATTATACTTAAAAGTTTTCTTCAAATTTGTCATATCATTAATAATCACTACAATTTTTCAGTTAGTAAGTACATATTGGATTGGCATTTTATTCATACACTTACCCCAAAATTGGTTAAATACCAAAAGAAAAACCCTATGTCTCAAGAAAATGCATATGAGCTCCTTATATTGTGCTGCTCAGTACCTTAATATTGTATCTTGTTGGAATTCATCGTTGTCCTTTTAAGCTTTTTATAGTATTTTTCTATATAAAAAACACTATTTTTAATTAAAACCAAGTTATTAGTTATTCTAATTAAACTAGCAGCGACTAAATTAGCAGTGTGAGTTATCACCGACAATGAAATCTCTTCATCCGTAATCAGAGGTCTTGGATTCAATCTCTAAAATGAAAAAATTCTTGATAGAGAAAGTTTTCCATCTTAACGGCCCCTATGCAGCATAAATTTAGATTAATCGAGCGAATGATTTCTAAGTTTGGGTGTTGGGGCGAAGGCGCAAAACTAGCCCTTTACTTATGGGTTCGGTCGAACCCTGTAATTTGTGTCCGAACCCTTTATTTGTCTCATTTAAGTCATTAAATATATATAAATTATTAATTAGAACTTTAAAAAAATTAGATTCTCAAACTCATAAACTGGGGGGGGGGGGGGGGGAAGGGTAAACGTTAACTTCCAATAAATAACTGCTACAACAACAAGCCCAGTGAAATCTCACAAGTGAGATCTGGGGAAGGTAATATATATGCAGACCTTACCTCCACCTTATGAAGGTGGAGAGACCGTTTCCGATAGACCCTCGGCTCACAATAAAGAACTGGTAGAAGAGTTAAAAGCTAGTCTACAATAAGTGTAACAACAGAATACTTGGAGCATAAACAGCTAAGAATGTAATTAACAGACCCATATTTTATATAACAAAAAGGTTAATACTAGGAAACATAAGCTGAGCTAACTAATAGACTCATTGTTACAAATAGAGTTCCTAAACACAAATTAAAGCACTGTTTAACATAAAGCTGCCCCCTGAAAACTGATTTGAGCATCTTCTTCAACATATCTTCTGCTTTGTTTTGCTCCATACCAATTCTAAATGTACCTGACACTTTGTATATCAGGGAATGTGCTGCACTACTCCAAGCGGTGACATTTTTACACCAAAAACACAAATTCCTGTTGCATGCTCCACGTACATTGTTCGTAGTTTAGCCAATTAAAAATATATGTAATCTATAGTCGACAAGTTATGTTGCTCGGATCTCCAAAAATATGTCGCTGCACCCCTATCAGATCCTACGAGGAATCCACTATTTTTGGAGGATCCGACACCGGTGCACTGGCATTTTGTGCAGGATCCGAGCAACATAGGTTTACTGGCTTCCTCCTAATAAAGAAGGTCAAAACTAATAAAATGAAAATCTTACCAGTTGAACCAAGACAATGTGGAATTCTGCATCTTACTCGCACTTGATTGAACGGTATATGTGGCGGACGAAAAATAAAGCCGCTCGGAAACCAACAGTTCCGAGCATGAGAAAGAAGGCGTAGCATATGCAAGCCATGTAACCAAAGAAGAATGAGGTTTGCATGAAGCCTGACATGTCTGATCGAGCATAATAATAATACAGGCAGTATCCGTAGATGAACAGACCAGTTGATCCACCACAAAGGAAAGACCTACAAGATCAACATTAAAGTGAGAGCCCCGACAAAGCACACGTATTTCCAAAAAAATTGTGCCTAAACGTATACGTTAAAAATAAAGAATAAATTTCTTCAACAAAAATGAAAATTGAGTTAATATTTTGCAGTTCCATGACATGACGCATTAACCAAAGGAAGTACAGAAATGGCTAGTAATCGATCATTTTTGCGTCCTTCAACTGTTTGAAAAGGATTTGGTCAATTAAGTACTATTAACGTAACTTACCTCCACCACCATTCATGATCTTCTGCAGCAAGTTGGAAGTACGTCAAAGCCACCGTAATAAATGCAGTGACAATGATCAGAATTATGAAAACTATGAATAAGATACTGTAAATGGTGTAAATCCTATGACCCCATACGCTGGCAAATATGTAGTAGAGCTCAATGTAGATGGCGCTGAAAGGCAAGAACCCAGCCATTGCCATCTGAGGAAGAGCTCCACGATACCATGGTAATTGTGGTATCTCTCTTGGATATTTCGTTGTTCGGCATGGAGCTTGAAATTCTGCCTTGCTATTCTTTCCTGCAATTCCTCCCAAGACAAGCAATGGTGATGTCACAAGGGCCCATATGAGGAAAATGACAACGATGGTACCGAATGGAAGTGCTGCAGTTGCATGATAAGCAATTGCAACAGTATTAAGGAAGCAGAATGTGAGAAACAGCGGTCCACAGAACAGGCCTCCTGTCAACAACAAATTCCTTACCTGTAAAAAGAAATTGGATTAGAGATTAGTACAAATTTTCCTCTTTCTACACGATACCAACCGAACAATCTCAAGTAATTATTAACTCCGCCAAAGGGGCGACCACTACATTAATCGTTGGGACCCACTGTTTTTGGTTTCAAGGATAATAAGTTGTAAACAACAAAGAGGAAAGGAGAAAAACTACAGACAGAGAGAGAAAAAAACGGGGAGGAAAAGCCAGTAAAAGGGACGAGGTAAACTTAAAAGAGGAAGTTGTCTCAAAAGACTGTCAATCTCATAAAATTCATGGAAACTTAGTAAAGAACATAATACAATCGAAGCAAAATCCCATATAGGTGATATCAACCAATTGGATCAAGGCTTGGCCATGTTCGTACACTTGAATAAGAGTGTTTATAAATAGCCTTTTGACACAGATTTGCAAGTTAGTAGTAAATGTGAATAATGTTAGTAACATTAATTTGTCTTACCCTCTCCCACCACCAGCCAAGACACATATTCCCCTCCTGTCAGCCCACCTTCCAGAATCCACCTTAAAAGTGAAACTAATGTAGTCTTCCAACAAACATACCCAAAAAAGTGAAATATGCTAGGGTGTGTTGCCAAAAAGATTATTGCTATAGGGGCAAACAAGAGTTACTTGAGCTATTGTTCAAAGACTGAAAGCCATAGCAATATGCTTCAGTGTTGGGTTTGACATCACGTGACATGAAATATAGAGATGCATGACATTTTCACAAGTAGAACCTATAGCCCTTCTTCAATGTAGCAACCAAGGGAGAGACATATCCAGGAACACAAGCATGTTTGGTCTCTGATTGTCGGATGCATATCCAAGGCCTTCTATGTTGCGATATAGCTCCACCAATCCCCCTCCCACAAAACAAGACCTTGTACCGGAAAATATGCTCTTTTGAACTAAATTCGCGGAGAATGTTTACACTTTACTCTTAAAAATCCTATCACGACTAGTCCCTGTCAAACCAAGAAACCTTCGCTAACTAGAAGAGAATGACGAAATAAAGAAACTAAGTGCAGAAAATAAGAGATGCACTTGTAGGAAATTTTGGCTACTTCGCAACAATAAGAATAATGCTCCATACTTTCTTACCCAATTTTTTCCTTCAAGTTGGCAATAGAATGATGCTGCAGTATAGCCTGCAATTCCTGATGTAAGAGCATAAATAACAACCAAAGCTGTGAAAAGAGCTCCTCGGTTGTAGGGGTAAAACACACCAACAAGCGCGAGTGTGAATATGAAAATTGTCCTGGGAAAAAGAGGCAGTGAGAATTAACATTTGTCACAGAAAATTAACACTAGCTAAACAAATCTAGAACCAAATAAACCCATTTTATTGGAATGCATACTTACAGGGTAAACAACTGTGTGCCAGATCCCAGGGCTGCTGCAAAAAGTGAGTTCCGCTTTGGGTACCTAAACACATCGCCGTGAATGTATTTCCACCCAGTTTCTTCTTGGTCATCAGCAGCTTCCTCGTCATGGGCGTATCTTTAACCAAAACAGGACATACCAAAGGATGAGTACAAGCTACTCGAAAAATGAATATCCTACCCCAAAAAAATTTTAATTACTTACTTGACAAAGTCATTTTTAAGGACTCGCATCAGAATTGTGGCAAGGAAACCAGTTAAGAGCAGAACTGTGACACAAGAATTAATGATAGAGAACCAGTGGATCTCCAAATGATGTGGTAAAGCTGAAGTCTGTGAGTACTTTTCCATCCTTTTCTCAAAAGGGATGTCTGTTTCCTTCCATTTGACAGAGTACATGAAGTCTACATCAACTTCCTTATCTTCGGTTATGTCGACTAGGGCATTGGGGTCAGTTCGGGCATTAACTTCAATCACGCGATCGTTGTTGAAATGGATGTCAAAATGAAGATGTTTAAAAAGGTAGTATTTGTACTCACTGGGGTCAGATTTTCCCTCCTTATCTACCTTACCAATGAAACCCCAAATGGGCAGATCATCATAGAACATCTGGAAGTAGTAATCCTTGGCAACAGCGTCACGGAATCTTGCAACTTCTTCTTTTGACAATGACTTCTTGCAAACTACTTCAGTTTCTCGATCACTTAGAAAGTCAAGCTTGTACGGAGCAGTGACTAAACGATCCCCATTCAACACCTCACCAAGAGCTTCTGTTTTATCTTTCACATGACCTAATGAACGAACATGAATAGGCATATGTTCCAATCGTCACTTATATATATTATATTCAATAAGAAAAGATAAAAAGGACCAAAGACATTAGAGCAAGAGAGGGCAGAGAAATGAACCTGACCTGGAGAACAAAATGGAAGATCAAAGTAGCGATATGTTTCACTGCAATTGACAGTACAAACATGAGATCTCAGTGGAGAACAGTAAATGTAGCATGTGCAGAGAAGTACAATCAGAAATATTTTTCCTGTTTTTGATCAGTAGAAAGAAACAGAGTGGCTAATGAGAACATCAAAAAGGAAACAGAGAAAACCAAAGTCCATCTCACATACAAAAATTGATAAGCTTAAGAGAGTGGATTTTAATTAGGTTAACTAACAAGCAAATTAAATTAGAAGCAATTCGTGAACAAATATGCAGAAAACAAATTCTTCACGGAGAAATCAGATAGAAGTCGCCGGACGACCATTCTAGTCACTGGTGAAACTGATACAAAGAGCTAAAAATGACAAAAAGAAGCCTAAGTTTGGTGAAGGAAGTGTGTAAACAAGAACATCTGAGGGAGGCACTGAGCACATGTTGAATGTTTTTTGTCTCCATATCTGGAGACATGGAGTGGGCGGTAGTTCCTGCTCCAACGCTGGTGACCCCCGAGCTAGGTATTATCCATAGGAAAAGTGAGAAATTCTCTAGCATTTCTACTAGGTAGTTATGCAGTTTTTTTAAAGGAGTAAGTACACTCCATATATCCACATTGTACATGCTTTTGACACCATCTTGGTGTATTGGTAATAAGATAATTTGAATTATCAAAAGAAAGTTTTTGAATGTGTGAGTTTTTACACACGCACTCGTTGAGAAGAACCTTTGTGAGTACAGGTATACCCATTTTAGGACTATGCTTCGACCAAATGTTGGGAAATTTATCGATACTAACATGCTCACTAAAGGAAATTGTAATATTATCTTTACATTTCCTATGTGCATTAAAATAGAAGTATGCTAGCTGCCAAGATAAGCATCAAACATATGTGACTCACAAGAACAAAATTTTCAAAAACAAGTGGATACAATTTGTCAAATTAGTAGCATAATGAAATATATCTTTCAAGATCTAAAGCGGAGTGCCTCCGATCACTTTTTCAATAGAGCTGCGGTTAAAAATGGATGAAATTACTCCTTTTCATGACTTAATGTCAGGAGCTACATTTCACCAAAATAATTTTCTGGAAAGGAGATCAAGTGAGGGTCAAACTAGCTCTGTGGAAGGCAGGTCTGGATTTTCTCACTCTTAGGAAGCTTCCTTTCCTTGTTCTAGAATAATTTGGCTTTATTAAAAACCTATAATTTCGGCCGATCATATCAAGAATATTGCCTACACAAATGCAAATGTATTTAATGTGCCAAGACACAACTTTTGTTAACATGAAGAGTCGACAATAGAAAACAATATTTTTTTTTAAACACTGCCGTACACACGGCTGAACTCTTCTCATATCCAAACACGAAAAACATAAAAGACAAGCCCTTTGTTCCACCCTTCTTTGGTAGTGCTCTTACAACATTGACTATATTAAATTAGATCAAGCATCAAGAACCAAGACCCACAAACAATGTCTTTCTCCATAATTGTACATGTACAGCTAAATTCTCAGATAAAAAGATTCAAAATTCTCAAATACCAAGTACTCATTAACATACATGGAAAATCACTGTCCAAATTCAGCAATCCCATATAAGTTCCCCCCAGAATTCATTCCAATATTAATTTTCTTTTCAGAAATTCAGCACGTACAAAATGTAAACTACACCAAAAAGAAAGAAACCCTCACCGTTATCAGAAAGAGAAGCTCACCATTATCAGAAACCAAGGAGACCACCAAATGCATATTGAAACAATTTAACATTACTGCAAAAATTCAGCAAATCCTAACAAGATTTCCCCTTTTCATTACAACACTGCCTAAGACAAGACCTTGAATTTTACCCAGATTTCAACATGTACTACCCAAATACCCAATAAAGCTCACAATTACCAGAAACTTAGGTGACCCACTAATATACATTGAGCAAACTCCGCGATGCAGCTAAACTTCAGCAAATCCCAGCAACATTTTCCCCCAAAAATTCATTCCAAAACTATATTTTTTAGAAACTCAACATGTACGAGATGTAAACTACAACCAAAAAGAAAAAGCAAAGCTCACAATTCTAACAGACCAAAGAGACCAACAAATATACATTGAAACAGATCAACATTACTGCCAAAATTCAGCAAATCCCTGCCAGATTTCCCAAAAATTCATCCCAACACTACCCAAAAAAGATTCTTTGGACTTTTACCCAGATATTCAACGCGTCTAAAATGTAAAGTACCACGAAAGCTCAAAAATCTCAAAAACTAAGGTGACCAGTTGAGCAAACTCAGCAATACAGCCAAAATTCAGTAAATCCCAGCAACATTTTCTCCCAAAACAAAATCTTGATTTTCACTCAGATATTCAACACATACAAGATATAAACTCTAACCCAAAAAAGCTCACAAATCTAAAAAACTAAGATGACCAGTTTAGCAAACTCAGCAATACAGCCAAAATTCAGCAAATCCCAGCAACATTTTCCCCCAAAACAAAATCTTGATTTCTAACCAGATATTCAACACATACAAGATATAAACTACAACCAAAAAAAGCTCACAAATCTCAAAAACTAAGGTGACCCACTAATATACATTGAAAAACTCAGCAATAGGGCCAAAATTCAGCAAATCCCAGCAACATTTTCTCCCAAAACAAAATCTAGAATATACCCAGAAATCAAAAACTCATAAAAAACAAATATTTAAGGGGAAAAATGAGAAGGGATAAAAGGGTTATTACCTAGGGTTATGAAAAGGGCCAACTTTGTTTGCATACAAAGGAACTTCTTCTCCATTTTTGTATTTGTGATCTGATGAATCTGATCTCACAATTGTAGCTCCAAAGAACAAGAGCACCAAAACGACGACGTAATAGCCACACCCCATACTATTCTTCTTCACCATTTTTTGGGTTTCTCACTCACATAAAGAAAAGGTCTCTCTTTGAAACTCTTTTAGGTACAGTGATTTGTGTAAAAGAGAAAAAGAGATTGATGACCACGCGCTACTGTAGCGAGTTTTTAACAAACGTAACGTTACCTATTAAGGGATGACAAGTGGATAATGACGTGTCAACACCCTTTTCTTTTTTCCTTTTTTATTTTTCTCAAGAGTTCATTTATTTGATCATTTACCCGTTATCTCTCTAAAAATAATTGGGAAGATAGACACTATATAACTGCTCTAAAAATAAATAGCCGAAAAAATATGTATTTATATATATTTGTGTATGTTATATATAATTAAATTTATCTATAACGATATCCCTATATAAGAATATTTTACTATAAAAGTCAAGTTTTTTTGGAACATATTTTCATGTTATGTTATAATATGTTCTCTATAAAAACAATTCGTTATAGCATTCAAAAAAATCTGAACAAATAAGGCTGTTATACGGAGATTTGACTGCATAAAAATATAATACAAATTTTATACACTTTTGTGGCTATCGAAAGTAAATAGTTTCAGTCTCGACTAAAAATGATCTTTGCCCAAATAATTTATATATTTAGAACGTTTTGCAATTTGTCTACAGAATAGAATTTATTTTTCCTTTAAAATATATAACACTCGTACTATTTTTGTAATTAATGAAACATTTCTATTCAAGTGATTGATTGAGAATGTGCATCGTGAATCACGACATATAAAAATAAAAAAATAAAGAAAGCACCCAATACTAAGCGAGAACAAGAAAATGATAGTATAAATTAGCAAAAAAAGGAAAATCCAGAATTATACAGATCATTAGATTTAGATATTTGTCACTCTTTTTATGGTTAAAAAAATAGAAAGATAGAAACATTGAATACGAGTGTATGACAATGGATTACAAAGAATACAGGGCATAATCCAATATTAAGGAAACATTGTATTTACCAAAAGCCTCAACGCCTGAGTACATTTGTGTGATAAAAGTTCCGTCAGAATTAGGATTTCAATCTTATGGGTTTAAGATTTTAATTTTTTAAAGTTATTGGATTCTAAATTAATAATTCATACATATTCGATAAATTTTTAAAAATAAATACAAGACTTAAACTAAAAATATTGGGTTCATCCGAACCCCCTCCCTATACTCTCGCTACGCCCGTGCTAAAGAATATTAGACATCAAATGATATTTTCCATTAACATAATTTGAATATATAAAATCGAAATATATTAGATGAATGTAAATGTTTGAGCTGTAATGAAAAATGGCAATAATAAAATAAAAAAAATTAAGCGGGCATATTTAAGATACTACAAGCTTCCTCCCAATGAAATCAAGTTCCACAGGTTGCTAGTACCATATTGCGTTGTTGCATATATATCTACAAAGAAATTAAATTCCACAGGCTGCACAGTTCAAAACTCGATATATAATGAGCTTCTTTATCCTTCTCCACTTAAATATTATGTTTATCTATGATAAAATTTGAACTCGTGAATTGTCCTCGGATAGTAATAAAAACGATAATTGATAACCTGTAGTGAAAATTTCTAGTGATGCCCATGACGGTGGGTCGAGTAGGACTGGTGGCTTCTAAGCTGACAAGATTCTGGAAAACGGGTTACACATGTTACCTTAGGCGAATCCCGCGTTAGAATGGGATAGAAAAGTGAAATAGCCCAAAGGAAAAATCTGTGAGGTTTGTTGAGTCAAAGTAGACAATACGTGTGATAGGCTAATTTGGTCGTGGCAAATATGGTATCAAAGCTAAATCTTCCTCAGTACGATGGTGGAGCAAACCTCAGTGAGGATATTGTGTCCCCAGGGGAGGGTGAATGTGATGCCCATGATGGAGGGCGGTCGGTAAGAGTCGGTCGAGTAGAACTAGCAAGCTTCTAAGCTGACAAGCTAATGAAGGAGGGATGTACATGTTATATTAGGCGAATCCCATATCAAAATTGGAGAGAAAAGTGAAAAAACTTTATAAGACACAACAGAACTCACATGTTATGCACGTTTTTGGGCTAGTATAGCCCAAAGGACAAATCTGTAAAATCTATTGGGCCAAAGCAGACATGGGCTTGGGTCATAACGTTTCCTATCCTCTCGATGATATATATGTCTACCAGGAAATTAGGATCACTTCTTACATTGATCTTAATCACACGAACTTTGCTGTAAGGATCTCAAAATGGAGTTGTTTAATAACAGGTACTTTAGTCATTGGTTAGACTTTCTTAGTTGATCAACTTTTGCCATGTATTCTTTCGTTTTATTTTCTATGATAATATTTGATTTGAGGGAATTTAATAAAGAAATAAAGACTTTTGAAATTAATAATAAACATGTCATGCCATAATAAAAATATATCATAAATGAAACAGATATAAGTATATACGTTTGGATTAGTAGATCTTAGCAAAAACATTGTGGAATTCAGCAACTTTTCTTTCGATAACTTCTTTGTGCACACTATTTTTAAGTACTCCTTATACAAAAAGCCCAGCTTGTAAGGGAAATTTACCAATCGATCATCAGCGCGTGATGTGTGAGTTATCCACACGTCAATAATGGTTTGAACGCTACTACAATCGAGAAGGGTAGAAGCATGGGTTTATTATTCACTGAATTTTGAACCGTGCCCCACTAGCATGGTGCACTATAAATCTCAAATATTAATAATAAAAATATATCTTTACTATGTTACCTTAACCTGCAAAGTTTGAAAAGCCCTTAGATATTCTATAATGGGCTACCCAAATGACCAACTCGTTAACAATGAAGGCCAACTTTAGATGTGACGACCCGGCCCGTCGTCACGTGAGTTACCGCCCCGTTTCCCTCATCCTATGTTTCTCTATGCTTCATTATCAGTATTTGAGGTGATCGAGTCGAATTGGATTGGTCTTAGATGGAAACGAGACAGTTTCTTTAAGGAAGGCTTGTTTGGAAAAGTCAACCGGATGATGACTATTGAGTTAGAGGGCTTGGATGTGATTTTCGGCAATTCGGTTAGCTTCGGGGGATGATTTGTGACTTAAGAGTGCGATCGGAATTGATTTTGGAGGTTCGGTGTAGAATAAGGCTTGAATTGGCGAAGTTAGAATTTTGGCGAATTCCGGTTGATAGGCGAGATTTTGATCCGAGGGTCGGAATGGAGTCCCGAGAGTTGCAGTAACTTCGTTAGGTGATTTTGGATGTGTGTGCAAAATTCCAGATCATTCGGAGGTGTTTTGGTCGGGTTTTTGATCAAATGCGTGTTTCGGAAGTTTTTGAAGAACTTAGGCTTGAATTCGATGTAATTCGATGATTTTGGCGTTAGTTGAGGTATTTTGATGATTGGAGCAAGTTTGAATAATGTTTTAAGATGTGTTGGTACCTTTGGTTGAGGTCCGGGGGGCCTCGGGGTTTTGATGATTGGTGCAAGTTTGAATAATGTTTTAAGATGTGTTGGTACCTTTGGTTGAGTGGTGTGGTATGACTGACTATGTTCCTAGCAGGGTGATTTCTTTCCTAAAAGCCCAGCGGATGGTTGGGAAAGGTTGTCTATCATATTTGGCTTTCGTGAGAGATGTTGGAGCAGAGACTCCTAGTCTTGATTCTTTTCCCGTTGTGAGGGATTTCCCTGATGTGTTTCCTGCAGACCTGCCGGGTATGCCGCCGGACAGGGACATTGATTTTGGTATTGACCTGGTGCCGGGAACTCAACCCATCTCCATTCCTCCGTATCGTATGGCACCAGCGGAGTTGAAAGAACTAAAGGATCAGCTCCAGGAACTCCTAGATAAGGGGTTTATTCGTCCTAGTGTGTCACCGTGGGGTGCACCGATTCTATTTGTGAAGAAGAAGGATGGCACAATGAGGATGTGCATTGACTACATGCAGCTGAACAAAGTGACAGTGAAGAACAAGTATCCACTACCTCGTATTGATGATTTGTGTGACCAGCTCCAGGGGAAAGGGTATTCTCTAAGATTGATCTCCGTTCAAGCTATCACCAGCTGAAGATCAGGGATTCGAACATTATGAAGACTGCCTTCAGGACTAGATATGGGCACTATGAGTTTCTTGTTATGTCTTTTGGGCTGACTAATGCCCCAGCAGCGTTCATGCATTTGATGAACAGCGTATTTCGGCCGTATCTGGATTCATTTGTTATCGTTTTTATTGATGATATCCTGGTGTACTCGCGTAACCAGGAGGAGCACGCACAGCATTTGAGAGTGGTATTACAGAGATTGAGGGAGGAGAGGCTTTATGAAAAGTTCTCCAAGTGTGAGTTTTGGCTTGGTTCTGTGGCTTTCCTGGGGCACGTGGTGTCCAGTGATGGTATTCAGGTTGATCCAAAGAAGATAGAGGCGGTGCAGAGTTGGCCTAGGCCGTCCTCAGCCACAGAGATTCGGAGTTTCCTCGGTTTGGCGGGTTATTATCGCAGGTTCGTCCAGGGTTTTTCATCTATTGCTTCGCCCTTGGCCAAGTTGACGCAGAAGGGTGCACCATTTGTATGGTCGGACGAGTGCGAGGAGAGCTTTCAGAATCTCAAGACAGCTTTGACCACAGCTCCAGTGTTGGTTTTGCCATCAACTTCAGGTTCTTACACTGTATATTGTGATGCTTCGAGAGTTGGGATCGGATGTGTGTTGATGCAGGTGGGTAGAGTTATTGCATGTGCTTCTCGTCAGCTGAAGCCTCATGAGAAGAACTACCCTGTACATGATTTGGAGTTGGCTGTTATAGTTCATGCTTTGAAGATTTGGAGGCACTACTTATATGGAGTATCTTGTGAGGTATTCAGAGATCATCGCAGTCTTCAGCATTTATTCAAGCAGAAGGATCTTAATTTGAGGCAGCGGAGGTGGCTTGAGTTGCTAAAAGATTATGACATTACCATTTTGTATCACCCGGGGAAGGCCAATGTAGTGGCCGATGCTTTGAGCCGGAAGGCGGTTAGTATGGGTAGTTTGGCGTACATTCCAGTTGAGGAGAGGCCCTTTGCAGTTGATGTCCAGGCTTTGGCCAATCGGATGGT